CTGCCAAACTCAATACATGCATAGACAGCTTTATTCCAAAGCTCCACTGTCAGCGTCGCTTGCGTCTGGTACATGAATAAGCCTGTGGGGCCGTCAAAAATCAGCAAAGCAAAAAACAGCTCTGACAAACATCACACCAAAAAAAAACGCGGCCTGGGAATGCGATTTTCAGAAAAAATCCTGCCTTGTTGCGGTCAACAACAAGTGTCCTAGCAGCTTCCGGCACTTTGCCGGCCATTTCGCCAGGATGAGCTCTCCATCCCAGTTGCCTAAAGCCATGGCATGGCTGCAACAGGAGCTGGCAATCCAGAATCCCTTTTCCAATCGTGATAGGTAAAGAGCTATTGTTTCTTGGCACGATCGCAGAACAAAACCCGCACGATATGGCTCCTCACAGCAGACCTTTAGGGTCAGGAATCTTCGAGTCTCGGGAAATTTGGTGAAGACATATCCGAATCTGGAAGTTCCATGTCCTTTATACTTTATGGACTACACATCACTGGCCAATGCATGGCGGCGTGTCTTGTTTCTGAAGCCTTCCTATAACACATGTAGCAGCATTTAAACGATGGCCCTGCCGAGGCTCCACGCTACTTCTCCTGTTCGGTACAATTGGTCCACACAGAGCATCCAAGAGCCATTCTGAGAAGATATGGCAAAGGCACGATGTTTGGTGTTCCGCACATGCATGAAAGACTTTCCAGGACAACCAAAACCAATGCTCTACATGATAGCTGAAAGCTACTTGGTGGTGCGAACAACCCTGCTGAGGCAAAAAAATAATCATTTGCTCGACTGCACTGCTCAAGCCTCCAGATTTGGAGGGTCAGATGTTCGAGCTGCGGCTGCTTTCAGCCCCATTGTTGACGACTTAACATCTGGTGCACATCCTCACTTGATGAGATGCCCCTTTCGAAGAGTCACGGCGTTTGACGTACCTGGATGGAAAAGACGGGACTGCCCAAACCCAGAAACGACCACATTCTTGGCGTAAGGTCTTTGGCTGGTCCTAACTGCTGGCAATCACTGTCTGCCTTTGATTTCGAGGCAACACCAAAAAAAGTTGGCCTACCAATGACATCACGAAGACTGGTGCCTTGGCAGGGATAGCCGCCTTGAACCAATAATTGAGTTGTCACATTTCGGCTCCAGCGCAGGCGCACCCAAAAAGGGGAGTCTTCGAGGCTTCATAAGGCAAGAGCGTGCCTGATGCAAGTGATGCAAGCTTTGATGACAGCCTGCCCACATCTAGTCCACTCGAATGTTCAGTAGGAGGCAAACCATTTCCACAGGCTGCGACTGGCGTTTCGGTTCACCATACCTGGTGCATGTTATTCTGTTATTCCTCTCGGACAAACCATTGATCACTGCGCGACAAACAAAACGCAAGCCAAAAGCGCGTTACCCCGCCTTCCGAACCAATCAGTCAAGGTGTTGACCCTCACCTAAGACAACTCCAGCTGAGAGCTTGGTGGAGAGTGCCGTACATGACCACAAAAACCAACCTCAGCAAATGCTGAATGCAACAAAAGGAGGGCCTGCGTTCCCTTGAGCTGTTCTGCTTTCTCAGCCTTCACACACTGCCCCCAACAGAAGTCACCATTACACATCGGCGCCAAGCTATTCAGAGCTCTCGCGACAGGCGGCGCCTTCTCCAGCTGCTGAACCTTGCAGAGTGCTACAGGACCAACCAGCATGCCGTTCCTGTACTTCTGGCATGTGGAATGGGTCGTCATGGCCTCGTTCTGCAAAGACTCCAGCTCTTGAGACACCCGCAGAACAGTCTGGAGGGTGTGAGCTAGCCTTAGCCAGCTGATGAGAGCAGTTGTCCTGATAGACAAGTGCTGTGCACTCAGCCATGTTCTTTGCTTGATTGCTTCGCCAGGTGCCTTGCCCTTCTGGAGCGTCTTCACTGGGGACAGGCTTTCTATGGGATTCCCTTGGTTGTCAGGAGGGCTGCCATTAAAATTGAAATGTTTTCAGACGGTAACAATGTTTATTTTGTTGTTGTCTGGTCCTTCTTGTTGTTTGTGCTTTTCGATTGTTGTTTTTGCTGTTTGGGCGGTATGGTTTTCTTGCTGTTTGGGCGCGGGCGTG